CCCTCTCTCTCTCTCTCTCTCTCTCTCTCTCTTTTGGTTTTTGTAGCCCTGGATGTCCTGGAACTCACTCTGTAGACCAGGCTGGCCTCAAACTCAGAAATCCGCCTCTCTGCCTCCCAAGTAAGATTTTATCTTAAAGAAGGGGTGTTAATTCATATAAAATTTATGTCTGTTATTGAGACATAGCACCATATTGCTTTCCAGTGACACAGTCCCAACTTAGAGAAGCCTACATGTGCATTCATGGGAGAAAAAAAAACTAAAAAAAAAAAATGGTCAACAAAGAAAGTGAAGAAAATTAGAATGGAAGTTAGGGTGTGTGGTGAGCCTTCAGCGTTCAGCTGAACTCTCAGCTCTGCCTCACTGGCACACAACTGTGTTGGGAAAGCCTGTTGCGACAGGTTGGTCCTTTCTCTGGGACGGAAGCCATGGCAGGCAGACCAAACCCTCAGACATGTAGAAGCTGTAAAGGAAGGAGACAGAAATTAAGAAGCCCAGGATGGTGTCTCAGCACACCCCTGGCTGCCACCCAGTGCTGCTGAAACCTAATATCTTGTTTCTTTTTTCCTTCTGTAACTAATGAGCAGGATGACAAGTACTGGGCGAGGCGCAGAAAGAACAATATGGCGGCCAAGCGCTCCCGTGATGCCCGGCGGCTGAAGGAGAACCAGATCGCAATCCGGGCCTCATTCCTGGAGAAGGAGAACTCGGCCCTCCGCCAGGAGGTGGCTGATTTAAGGAAGGAGCTGGGCAAATGCAAGAACATACTTGCCAAGTACGAGGCCAGGCACGGGCCCCTGTAGGATGGCATTTTTGTGGGCTGGCTTTTGAATAGATGGACAGCTTGTTTCCTGTATGGTAGCACCACACCCAAACCAACCTTTCTGACATCAGCACTTTACCAGAGGCATAGACGCAACTGACTCATATTTTGGTGTGCATCTGTTGCGTATGTATGTTTGTATGTGTGTGTATGTGTGTGTATGTGCTTATGGTCCCATGTATGATCAGCGGTGTGCATGTGTGAGTGTGTGTATGTGTATTCCTTCACAGTTGTCATGTAAAGATAGCCCTTTTGTTGTCTTTTAGTTCCAAACAAGAAAGGTGCCACGTTTTTATTAGACCCTGGAGGCCCCTGTGGGGTTTCCTCTCCTTCCTTCCTGCTCCTTTCTGCCTTGCTCTGTGTTCCTGTGATCTTACTTTGCCAGGGTCTACGTGGCTTCAGGAAGCAGGGCCCTGGATCTCAGTCATCAAGACCATAAGCTCTTGTTTCTGTTTCAACCATGAATTACCATGCTAAAAGGTGCATAGCATACCCTAGCACTACGCTGCAGCTGAATTCCTTCATAGGTTGCCACTCCCTTCCCTTTTTCCTCCCTACCCTTTCTCATTGTCTTCAAATTTAAAGTGCTGTTTAGATTTAATAGATTCCCGTATTTACTTACTGCTACCTACTAAGTTTCCTTTTAATTCTACCAACCCCAGATAAGTAAGTACCATTATAGAACACAGAGTGTGTTTTGCACTGTCTGTACCTAAAGCAATAATCCTAGTGTACGCTAGAGCATGCTGCCTGAGTATTAACTAGTGGACGTAGGAAATTTCTCCCTACCTAGGAATTTCACTGTCTTATAAAAATCAAAAATAAAGTAATGCATTTGCGCATGACCAGAATATTCTCAGGACAGGGAAGCAGAGGGCAATGGAAGGCCTAAGAATGAGGGGTTAATTTATCAGTATGTAAGCCAAAAAAAAAAAATACTGCATCTTGGAGAAGCCTTTGCCATGGGTGTGCTTCGTTTTGCTGTCTCCCCTTCCCACACCCAGCCCTTTTCCACTTTTCTAGTTCACTTTTTCCATTTCTCTCCTGATATTCAAAACAATTGACTTAAGATTCAGTTCGCCCACTTTTTTTTTGTAATATATATTTTTGGGATGATATTTTGCTGTTTTTAGAAATCAGTTAATTAAGTTGATGTTTTGTAAAGCCCCCCCCGACCCCCTGTGGTGTCCTTTTTGAATGCCTCACAGATGAATGGTTCTGGAGCCCATGTTTCTTACCCTCTGTTTGCTTTGGAACATATGTGCGCCTATCAAGTGGACTTCTGAAAAAAAAATGAATGTAAAAGACACTGGTGTATCTCAGAATGGGATGGTGTTGTCACAAACTGTGGTTTATCCAATCAATTTAAATGTTTACTATAGACCAAAAGGAGAGATTATTAAATTGTTTAATGTTTATACAGAGTAATTATAGGAAGTTCTTTTTTTGTACAGTATTTTTCAGATATAAATACTGACAATGTATTTTGGAAGACATATATTATATATAGAAAAGAGAAAAAAAGGAAAACTATTCCATGTTTTAAAATTATATAGCAAAGATATATATTCACCAATGCTGTTCAGAGGAGTGCTTGGGGTTTTTTGAAGTCTTTAATATTTTAAACCTATTACTGACACATCAGCATGTTTTCTGCTTAAAATTAAAGTTTTATGACAATACTGAGGCTTGCTGTGACGAATCCTGCTCCAATGCTTTCTTGTTTCTTATTAGGTCTCAGAAGGAAGTCAGTTAACATCACCCAAAAGCACAAAATGGGTTTTAGTCAAATATTTATTGGATGATACAGTGTTTTTTAGGAAAAGCATCTGCCACATAAATGTTCACTTCAGAATTCTGAGTTGAGGGAATGGAGTGTTGTTGCCAGAGCCCCAGATGATTTTGTTCTCTCTCGGCCGGTTTCATCTCATGCAGTGGAAGGTTGACCTCAGTGCTATGTGTATGGCTTATAGTTGACTTTAAAGATGGCTCTAATTTTGTTTTACTGAGTTGTATAATGTCAAGAGAGTCTGCTGTTTTTTCAAAGGCACATTTTGTGCTCAATTAAAATCCCCTTTCATCCAAGGATGTTTTCCGGTCTCCTGCCTCCACAGTATCTGAGTTCTCTCTACGGATCCAGTGATACCCTCCTCATCCCTCCCTCAGCCACTCCTCTGTCTGTGTCATAGTTCTGGAGACCTGTAGGGTTTCTTCCCAGGTACCTGTTTTGTTCCAAGCCATAGATCACGGTGGGAGATGAGAGAGTGGGAGAATTAAAATACTTTTTCCAAGTAAACTACTGATAAAAAAAATTGCTTCAATAATTTTGCATAGAACTGCAGAAGAGATAATTCATTAATAGCCATGGGACAACAAAGAGTTGGTCTTTTTGAAGATAGGTAAAGAGGGTGATTGCAGAACTGTTCAGTGACAGTATTCACCAGAGCAAAGATGAATATATTTAAACTTAAGTAGAGAAGTATTCAGGTGTCGCACTGTGACACACCCAAATTCATGGAACCATCCAGTAGTCACTGAAGAAAAGCATACCTGGCCTTTCTTGGAATTGTTTTTACCAAAAGAACATCACAAATGTTTTCTGCAGAAGACATAAAAAGACCATAATAAAACTTATTCTTTTGTATACAAGGAAAGGTTTTAGAAAACCTACCTCATTCAAAACAAAACAAAACAAAACGAAAAAACTCAACACTTTGGAATCTCCACAGGTGCCTTATCTGTAGGTAATTATCACACACACACACCCACTCCCAGGCTAACTTCTCTTTGCCCACGAACAGTAACTAGATGAGGAAATGCCATTCAATGTCCTGAGAAGCTAGGACCCAGGGTCAGATGACTGCAGCAGACCACAGCCATTAGGAAGTCCCATTGTCAACTGTCACCGTTTCAATGTAGGAATCTTTCCATGGTTAATTATTTGCTCATTCAAAATGCATCCGAGCTGTTGCATGCCCCGTCATTCGGCCATAATTTGAATAGAGCTGCATAGTACTTCCTGATCAGGTCACATAGTTTCATTATTCAAGCATATTCTCAAAGAAAGTTAAGAAAGAAAGAAAGAAAAAGAAAGAAAGAAAAAGAAAGAAAGAAAGAAAGAAAGAAAGAAAGAAAGAAAGAAAGGAAGAAATCAGAGTTTCTCTCTGCTGAGGTTCCCCTGAGGGGATGGGAGGGCTATGTACGACAGTTTCCAACTCTAGAGGGATTAGTGCTTTGGGTCATTCACAAACCACATCAGGCATGGCTGGGCCAGGCCTTTGTCTCTAAATAGAACAGGCCTTGAAGGAACCATCCTTTGAAGAAGAAGGGCCCTATGTTTGAGAAAAGCATGATGGGACTCAGTCACCAGGTGAGTGGGAAGCCAAATAAAAGAACCCAGAGGTTCCTTCTAACCCATTAGCTTACTGTGGCAATTTACATTAAGTCTAAACATACCTTTGAAAGGGCTACAGCCTCATGCCTGGATGAGCTGGGGCGAGTTGTAAGTGGCAACATCTCTCCTACCCAAGGATGAAACAACTGGCGTTGTGTAAAATACAAATTATACTTTGCTCTTTCTAAAAGTTCGTCTATTTTTGCCCTTAGTGTTCCTTTAGAAAAAGTCAAACTTTTGTCAGAGTTAAATAGTGAGATCCTCAGATAGTGTGTGACCACTCTGTGTGTGGCTCGTCTTCACCGGCCAGGATTGGTTTCCTGCAGCTGACTGAGCTGAGGTGTGATGCCCTCCCTGTGGTAGATACCTTCTTCTCTGGCTCTGACTGTACTTGGTTCCTGCTGGAGGCTCCTGAGTATATCCCTCTGGGGAAGCCAAATTCAACTCCAGGTGTTTGGTAAAATCAGTATCAATAATAAATGAACAAAACTTGTAGGTCTTGATGGACTGAAATTTTAGTAACTACAGTTGATGCATTTTTTCCCAAAATATGTGTTTGTATGGATGTTCAAGTGGAGGTATAAAATCTGTAATTTTTTTAGCACCTCACCAGACATAACAATTAGGTATTATCCTTTTGACAACACCATGAGAATTGCATCTGTTAAACAGGTTCAAGTTAACGGGAGGTTAGTGTAATTGTATACCATGATATTGGTGGTATTTATGCTGTCAAGTCCAAAACTTCATTTGTTCTTCTAAATGTTTAATAAACTGAATTTTTTTCCTTTTTTCATGTTTTTTTTTTTTTTGTGACCAGGTGGGTACCAATTGATTTTGTTCCTACCACCATAACTGAGAGACCACTTACAGAGGTTTGCATACATGATAATTATGTTGTCTAATTAGAAATAATGTATCATTTATTGATAACTTATATATTAAATACTTCACTATACACATGGAATATTTTAGTCCCAAAATAACAAGAAAGCATACAATGAACTTACAATTGTTACACATCAGGAAATGACAGGAATTGCCAACTAGGCAAGTTAAGAAGCTTAACTAAGGGGATGGAGAGTTGACTCAGTGGTTAGGAGCTCTGGCTGCTTTTCCAGAACATTGACCCAGGTTCAATTCCCAACACCCACATGGCAGCCCACAACTACCTATATCTCCAGTTCCAGGAGATCTGGTACCCTCTTCCAACCTTTTGGATGCAAAACTTACCAGTGCATATAAAATAAAAATTTTAAAATAAAAATAAAAAAGCGTTCTTAACGTGATGGAGATAGAAGCGACAGCGGTCACTACTGACCCGTTGAGTATGTGCCACATAGAAGGAGACCTCGGAAGCTAGTTTGGGTCTGTGTTCTTGTTGGGTCAATAAAATCATCCAAGGGTTTATAGAGGCACAGATCAAGCAATTAGAAGCTGATTTGAGTTGGGATTCAGAAATCTGAATTGTGTTTAATGCTCCCAGCTAAGTCCCACATATGAACAAACTCAGATGACCCTCAAGATCTGAAGGGGAATGGTTCCGGAACCTCAACGGTGACCAAAAATTCTGTGACACTCAAGTCCTTTATATAAAATGGTGTGGTGTTGCCGTGTAGCCTATTAAATCTAACTGATGTTATAAGTCACCTCTGAGGTATCTCCGCCAACTACAGGGTAAACTGCTATGTAAGTAGATGTGTTTATAGGCAATGAGAAAGAGAGGAAAGTCTATACGAATGCAGTGTAGACACAACCATCTCCGAACCAATTACACAGCACACAAGAGCAACATCCAACTTGAGACTTCATCTAGTACTTTCTCAAGCATGTCCATTTACAGGAAAGAAAAATACATAGAAAGTTTGCAAGAACGTCTTTAAATTTGGTCCATGCACATGTGCTTCCTGGGAATTCTTGGTTCTCCAACAGGTCTACCAATTTGACAGCTGGTTAAAGTAAGCTAATCCCTGAGCACACTCAGGTTTGCCAAGAGTTCCTCGAATGCTCAGCAGACCTTGCAGGAGTGAATGGCAGCCGCCTAAAGGCCTTTGTGTTCCTTCATTGTCCTTGTCATTGTTCAAATTCCCAGAACCTCAATACAACTCTTAGCCCTATAATTACCCTCTCCAACCTTACCCTTTGGACAGCTAATTTGATGGGGTTTCAATTCCTTACAACCAGCTCTGTCTATCTAGTAACTTTATAGTTAATGTTTCTGGATTGGAGTATTAATGTCATTTTTAATATCATTTACATTACATAAGAATACACACACACACACACAAAGCACTTGGCAGATCTATAAATCCCTAGGAAAGATGAGTCGCTCACCCATACTGTCCAGTCCCTGCCCTTCTTCTTGAACATTCCACAAGATAGATAAGAAGCTTCTGGAATGAACTAGCTTGGGATTAGTGTCCTCTCTCTGGCCTTTGAAAATCAAATGAGCAGCAGGAGGGACACAAGGAAACAGAGAGCCCATTTAGCCACTTTGCCCCTCAGGCTAGATCCCCTAGTAAGATTTCTCTCTCAACTTAGACCAGGAAGTGGATTGATGGTCAGGCAGCTGTATTCGTACCTGTTATGATTTGACTGAGTAACGCCCACCACAGGCTAATGGTCTGAATTTAGTCACCATCTGGTGACACTATGCTTGGAAGTTTCAAAACCTCTGGGAGATGGGACCTAGAGGGAGAATGTGTATCCCTGGGATGGATGCTTGGATGTACTGTCTCCACCTTCCCTTCACTCCCCAACACCTCTCCTTCCTGTCCGACGTAAGCTTCTCTCTCTGCCACACACTCCTCCTCCCATATCATTCTGCCAAGCACAAGGACCACATGACCATGGGCCAAATGCTCTGCCACCATCAGCCAAAATAACTGCTACCTTCTTTTAAGTTGTTTTTCTTTTTCTTTTTTTAATCTGCTATCTGTCTGGTCACCTCAATGAGAAAAGTAACCTAGCACACCTCTGGGATGGTTAGTGTCAATTGTCAACTTGTTGACTTAGAACCATCTGGGAGGTGAGTTTCTGAGTATACCTGTGAGGGATACCTTAATTAGGTTAATTGAGATGGAAGACTCACCAAAGGTTGCAGCATTTCATGGAACAGGATCCTGGACTATGAGCTGAGCAAGCATTCATCACTCTCCTCTCTGTCTCTTGTATGGATGCAATGTGGCCAGTTGCCCCAAGCTCCTGTGACTGTCCTACCATGGTAGACTGAATGCTGATCTTGTGATAGTAATCAACCCTTCCTGCCTAAGTGGCTATTGTCAGAACATTTTATGGTAATAACTGGAAAAACAACAAAGACAGATTCCTAACGATCATCACACGACCTTCCACCCACCCCTACCCCCCAAGATAGAGTGGCAGTGCAAGCACTGGGGACTTTCCTACCCCATCATACCCAAAGGCACCCCAAGTTTGTACAGTGCAAGTAAACAGAATGTTTGTGGGGTTTGGCTTTTGTTTTTTGTTTGTTTGTTAGTTTTGTTTTTGCTAACATAGCTTCATTTCAGTTCTGCAATTTCTTCAATCAGAGTGCAGCCCCTAAAGCCTTTTCTATGAAGACTCCCCAAACTGAATTCCCAAGATATAAAAGACTCAATACCAGTACCCTATGGTTGAACCTACTAACCAATTGGGGACTGTGCAATTTTCCTTGGAAGTAGAGGGTGGACTTTGAGAATGAGTCACAAGGCACAGATACAATCCAGTTTCATTCCCTGGAAATCTGTTGTCTTTTCCTTTGTCAGGGTTTCATGCCTCTGGAAGGGGTGAGAGAAGAGACATGGAATAGAAGATCTTCCCATGAACCTCTAGTGAGGAAGCAGCGCTTGGGGGAGGGGGAGGGAGACTGCTTGCTCCCTTCCCTATGATGAGGATCCCACCACGTCTGAATAGACCTGCACAAGACGAACCTTCCCTCACCAGGTTTTCTGCACAGCCCTTTTTCAGGACCTCTGGGCTGTAAGCAGAGCAGAACAAAGAAATAGGTTTCACATGGCAAGCCTTGACCAGAGGTCTGAAGTGTGGGATGGACTTGTGTGGCATTGCGACCTGACATCTCTTTATTCCTAAAGGGGTACTTTGTGACTCAACCTCATTCCCTGTGGGTTGGAGGAGGGCACTACTTGTCATTCTCAGCCCTCTGAGCACACACTCTGATGTTCTCAGTCATAGCTAAATAATCTACAGAATGAATGCCTGAAGCAATTTGCCGATTCCCTAGCCTGAACTCCCGAGCTTTTCCACCCACTGCCCCTGAAATGGGAGAGTATGATTTGGAAGGCAGGCGACAGTTTGGGGCTGAATCCACCTGAGACAGTCCTACCTTTCCCAAAATGAACCTCCTTCACCTGGCATCTAGTTCTTAATTTTTCTGCTCAGAACTTTGCAGGCAAAATGAACGTTCTTTGACAACGCTCCCTGGCAACACCCCCTCGGCGTCTGCAGCTGCCTGCCTCTTCACCGGGCAGCACTGTAGAACCCTGTGACCCTTCTTCCAGGTCACCTTCTCTCACAATTACAGACAGACCGGAGCAGAAGAGGAGACACAGAAGAGACTCATGAAAGAACTCTTAGAAGACCAAAGTCTTTTCATCCTTTTGAGTGAAGATGACTCTTAGAAGTAGCGGTATGTAATTTGAAAGAGGAGACAGGTGGGTGTAAAGAAAGAAAAGGAACCGTTCCTTGGTCTTCCAGCTCCCGGCGGGAGCCGTGGATCTGAGATATTTGTGTGCTGAGAGTCCTTTTCCCTCTTAATATCATGGTCTTTCATCTCCCTTTTTTCCTTTCTCCTCCGCTCCCGGCTTTCATACTTACCTCCCTCTGTGTGCAGGGGAATAACTGCCCAGGGATAAGAGGTGGGAATGGTCCCAGGGAAAGTGAGGTCGGGATTCACGGCCCCAGGCAGAGGATGGGGAAGAGCAAAGTCCGGATGTCAGCCAGAGACCTTCCGGCCCTCCGGCAGCAATCTCAAGTTACGCGTTATGGTTTTAAGACCCATTCACTGAAAAATCAGTATAATTTCCCAGTTTCAAAGACTGATCCCAAGCCTCTCCTGGCATCATTAAATAATGTTTGCACCCGAAGGTGCACTTTCTGTGTTCCAGTTAGCAATTTTCTTCACTCTCTGGATGAGAAGTCTGTGGTCTTGAGAAGAAAGGTGACTTGCAGAATGCTGTTCACAGCGCCACACAATCACAATACTTTCCAGCCCACGGTGTTTAATGCAGCACTCCCTGTCTCTCCTTTGGTTCTTTTCCCGTACTAGACCCAAGGCACAAAGTTGGCCTGATTTTTGTTCTACAGATTGAGAAAAGAGCACAAGGAGACCTTCATCTCTCTGTCCACTCTCTTCTAGGATGGAGTCTATGCTCTAAGTATCTAAATCATGCCCACTCTTCATTATAAATTGAAATTACTTTCTGGGAACTGTCCTGTACTGTCCCATGTTGGCAGTGGTTGCTTAGACTTTCACCCCATGTCCACTGAAGGCTGATTATGTCATTCTCTTGTGGTCGCTAACATCCTCTAGTGTGAAATACATCCATTCACAGTGTAGCATGTCCCAAAATGTGCCAGCATCTCTGATGACAGAGCTTCCATGCCTGATACTGTGATAACATCTAGCCCTAACTACTTCATTGTATTGTCATTTTGGAAAAAACAAACAAACAAACAAACAAACAACAAAAACATGTTTCAGTATTTTCACAGATTTGGTTTGCAAAGACTTTTTTTTTTAAAAAAGCACAATCTTTTTGGTTTTTTACTAA